ACCCTTTTCCAGCGGTCGAGATAACTGATCTTGCATTCATCCAAGTTTTCGCTGGCGATTGCTGTTGGGTGTGAGTTTATAAGGAAGTGTGCAGGCGTCAACACTTGGATGTCGTTTACCTCACACGAAATTGGAGTCAGAGGTCTTGAATTAACTGCCGACTCAATTTGCGCTAGAATCGTCGTTAACTCTTCGAATGTGAATTTTTGTTCTCCCATCACTTTCATTAGATGCATTTTTACTGTTTTTACGCCAGCTTCTACCAGGCCATTGAAATGTGGTGCGCCCGGTGGTGAGAATTTCCATGTTATTCTCTGTGTTGACAATTCGTTTGAAATTCGCGTGTTGAATTCCTCATTTTCGTTGTTACTTAATTCGTTTAATAATCGATTTGCAGCCACAAAATTGGTTCCATTGTCGCTGAATATCACTTTTACTTCACCCCGTCTCGCGATAAAACGTCGTAGTGCAGCAATAAATGCGTCAGCTGACATGTCACTGACCAACTCAACGTGCAACGCTTTCGTTGACATACATACAAAAATGCAAATGTACGCCTTTACTACTCTTGCATTTCGGAGTTTCGATGTTTTGATGAAAATTGCTCCCGTAAAGTCAACCATTGTGTTTGTAAATGGCTTGCTTACGACTGTTGTTCTAACCGCAGGTAAATTTGCCATTTTTTGTTGCATTGTTTTTGGGTTGTGTCTACGGCATGTGACACACCCGTTGAGTTGTTTTTTTACCGCCGAAAGACCGTTGACTATCCAATATTTCTGTCGGATAAGTGATTCGGTCAACCTTGGGCCAGCGTGAAAATTATTTTTGTGCATATCACGAATGATTAAAATTGAGATTCCACTTTTTTTTGGAATTAAAATCGGGTGTCTGGTGTTAAATGGTATGTCGTAGTTTTTTATTCTACCACCCACGCGTAACAGACCATTCGTATCGATGAACACATTCAACTTTAGAAGTTCACTGGTTTTTTCAATTTTTTTGTTTTTATTTAATTTTTCAATTTCATTTTCATAATACACATGCTGTACGATTCGAATGATTTTCGTTTCGGCTTGCTCTAGCTCGGTCGTTGTAATCGGAGTACCTTTTTCATATTTTTTTACATTCATTTTTCGTGTGTAACAAATAAACCTATTCACATAAGCGAACACTCTTATCATTTTGTTCCACGAAGATACTAATGGTAAATTGTCGTCGATAAAACACCTTTTATCACTTTGAACAAGCAATACATTCAGTTTTTGTTCTTTCGATGTTTCAAAATTTAAGTCGTCGTTGTAAATAATATCGGTGTTTTCGTGTAATATTGCTGGGCCGAACCACCAAAGTGGATGATTAGCCAGTTCGTCACCAAAAATTCCACGCGATGCGCAGTCTGCTGGATTTTGTTTCCCGGCGATATGATGCCACTCGACGTTTTTCAGTTTGTTGATACGTTTGATTCGATTGGCGACAAATTTTTTTTACTTTTGTGGATTAGATTTAATCCACGCCAAGGCCACCTTTGAATCACTCCATAAAATTGTTTCGTTGATGTTAAAACTCATTCTCGTTCGCGTAGCTTTCACTAAATTCGTTAACAATTCCGCTCCGCACAATTCTAATTTTGGAATTGTTTGCTCGTTGATGGGTGCCAGTTTTGTTTTTGCTGCTATCAGCACCACTCGAATCGATTCTTCACTTGCGAATCGAATGTAGACGTTGGCCGAAATTGCTTTTGCACACGCATCAGAAAATCCATGCAATTCCACCTTCATTTTTGTTGCTGTGCCGAGCCACCGTGGTATCACAATTGAATTTACTACGCTCAATCGCGATTTGTAGCTCATCCATTCATTCACAATTTCGATCGGTAAATCATCATCCCAAGCGTATGGTTTATTATTTTCGTGTTTTAGCTTCCACACATTTTGAAGCAAAATTTTCGCTTTGACGATGACCGGTGCGATCCATCCTAACGGATCGTATTGCACTGTTGCTATTTCTGAAGCTAGTTGTCGTTTCGTTCGTGGCCGTTCGTGTATATTTAATTTGATGTTGAATACAAATTCATCATTTTTCGGGTTCCATGGAATTCCAAGCACTTTGACAATGCTTACATTTTGCTCTTTGTCGCACTCAGGGATAGCTTCAAGTAATTCAGGCGAATTACTGACGATTTTCCTCAGATTGAAGCCGTACTCATCAAATGCCTGCTTCATTTCACGTAGAATGGACAATGCTTCATCAACCGTCTCGGCCCCACCCGAATAGTCGTCAACATGAAAGCATTTCAAAATTGCCTTCGCTGCTCGTGGGTATTTTTCCTTGACCCTTTGAGCAATTTCGTGTAAAGATCTAATGGCAAGATATGGAGCATCCTTCAAACCAAATGTTACTGTCGTCATTTTGTAACTTTTTATCGGCTCGTCGCAAGATTCTCGCCATAGGATCATTTGTAAATGTTGTTGGTTTTCGTTTAAGCGAATTTGCTTGTACATCTTTTCTAAATCTGCTATGACAGCGATTTTTGGCTCTCTCCATCGCATGATCAATTCAAAGATTGAAGATTGATCGATTTTTCCCACAACCAATTGCTCGTTCAAGGATTTTCCATTTGCCGTTTTGTTCGAGGCATTGTACACCTGTCTTAGCTTGGTTGTGGTACTATTTTTAAACACTGCGTGGTGGGGAATGTAGTGGCTGTCGATTGGTGGATTTTTTTCCAGCACTAAATGTCCCAACTCAATGGATTCATTGATAGTTGCAACGTATTGTTTGTGAAATTCTGGATTTTTCGCGAATTTTTTCTCCAATTGGAATAAAGTTGCTAACGCTATCTTACGTGAATCACCGAGACATGGTCCGTTTTCAGTTGTAAATGCCATTGAAACATTTAATCTGCCGTCGTCGTCTCTTTTTGTTGTTTTTACGTAATACTCTTCACGACAACGCTCTTCATCGCTCGGTTCTGTTTCACTTTCATCACTATCGACGCATTCAAGATCTTCAGATAAGAAAAAATTCGAAATTTCTCGTTCAATTTCTATATTTGAAATCAATGATGTAATTTTTATTGGAGTGTTGCGTGCTTCATTTTTTTCTGGGCCCATTATCAACCAGCCCAATTCACTATTTACTGCAATCGGAGCATCGATCGGCCCCTTGATTAGGCCGTTTTTTATAATTGCTGTAAATGCCGCGACATCCAACAGCAAATCGATTTCATTTTCGTCGTTGATCGTTGGATCTGCATACAAAAGATTTTGAAGGTAATCATAACGCTTCAAATCGTCTTTAAAATATGATAGGTTTGTAATTTTTTTCATAACAAGCGCTTCGGTTTCGAGTTCGTAATCATCAGAAAAATGTGGTCGCAGTGTAAGGTTTGTCATTTTACCAGCGGTCGACTTACGTCCCTCTACACCCTGCACTTCAGCATTCACACTGTCTGAGTCAAGACCCAATTTTTGGAATGCATTTTCAGTTATTAAAGCACCCTGTGAGGCACCATCGATTACCGATTTTAATAGCACTTTTTCGCCGTTTTTTGATAGTACATTCACAAATGCCGTTGCTAACAATTTATTTGTATTTTTTGTCGTTGTCAATACTTGAACTTGCGATGTTTCGTTACTTTTGCTGCTCGTTGCTTCATTAATAGTGGTCGTCGTGAGCAGTGTCGTTTTCTTTTCGTTTGCTTCTTTTTTTGTTTCGAAATGCAGCAAGGTGTTATGTTTCTTGCCGCATGTTTTGCACGTATTGAATTTAGCTTTGCATTCACCGTCATGCTTTTGAATGCAAATAACACACACTTTTTCGGATTTTGCCCATTCACTTCGTTCTTTCACTGATTTATTTTTAAATTCAAAACATTTGTAGACAGAATGAGGCTTATCACAAAATGTACACTTGAATGCCGTTGGTGAATCGTCGAATTTTTTGATTTTTTTTTCAAAATTTTCATTTTTTTTGTCATATTTTTCATGTCCACCTTCAGCTGATAGCAATGCCATGAAGCGATGCTCGATGTAATTTAAGAAGTCGGATAATTGTTGTAGCTCGCGAACATCGACCAATTTGGATTCGTAGTCGATTAAAGTTGTTTTGCTTAACTTTTTCTTTAGAATGTGAATGACGAGCGGATCCCAATTTTCAGTATTCACATCGAAATTACGGATCGCCATCATGCACTCGTACGTTACATCGTAAATGTTGCGTAGGCTGCTGCTCGTTTCAACTGTTTGGTTTGGCAATTCAAGAATTTTATCAATCAACTTGCCAACATTTTCTCTTTTATTGCCATATCGTCGTTCCAAAACATTGTACACGTCTTGATAATTTGATTCTTCTGGTGTCAAATACTTGATTTTTTTCAATGCTTCTCCTTTTAAACAAGACTTTAAATACTGCACTTTTAATGCGTCCGAAATCGAATTGTTGTCGTGAATTATTTTTCCAAAAAGGTCTTTGAACTCGCGCCAGTCATCTTTTTCACCGTTAAACTCTGGTAGCTTTATTTTTGGTAATTCAACGTTTGATTTTTGATTCGATTTTTCTTTCACATCATTTAATTTTCCGCACAATTTCATAAATTTTTCTTGCATTTCGTGGAATGGAATTTCGTTGCACCAAACTCTTTCTGCTGACACCTTTACTTGTCTGTACGTAGCTCTTAATTCAGCCCAAACCGTCTTCAACTGCTCTAACTGGGCGTTGGCTTCACCTTGAGTCGATGGTTCGTTTTTTTGTATCATTTTTACCACATCGTATAATTCTTTCGTTTGGTATCTCAATACTGCTACCGTCGGTGGAACCTCCTCTTGAGACTCGATGTCCAGTTGATCTTCGATCGTTTCTTCATCATCGCTATCCAAAAATTCGACGATATGAATTTTTTTGGGATTTTCGTTCTCACGCGGTGATGGAATCGGAGCGCCCGATTTGGATGTCGAAGCGCCGGTCGTGGATGATTTTTTCGTTTTTTTTTGTTTTGCTTTAAATGTTTCCAAGTCCTTTGTTATTGTATCATGCATTTCGTCGCACTTGGTAAAAGCCTTTTCATGATGATTCTTAGCGAAATATGCATTTTCCTTATCCGCTTCGTTCGCAATCAAGTCGTTGTGAGCTTTCTCAAACGTGTTTCTCCATTCAGCCAACAATTGCAAACGCCGTTCAAAATACTCGACTTTATTCTTTCTGTCTTTGCCATCTTTTGTGTAATTAACACAAAAGTCTTTCAACTTTTCCAATCTAATTTTTTGATCGGCAAGCTCCCCACTGATCTGTGTTTCGTCTTCGTCGCCAGAGCCTGAATTAGGCATTTTTCAAATGTATTTTTTTTGAAATCGTAAGGGAGAAAAAAAACACTTTTCAAATTTTATCGTTTCGTTGTAACTTTTGTTCGTAAATCGTGGTTTAATTCAAATTTTCGTCGTAGTTTCGTTGTATTCTTTTTAAGTCGAAGGACCAAATGTTGCTATTGCCAACATTAAGAGTTGATTAAAATCACGTCAAATTTGTGTGAGCGATCAAAATGAACTGAATTTTATTAAGTTGTTAATTTTGAACAGTTATTCCAAAAATGCTTAATTGCTAGATATGGTTCGTTGCCTTTAATTTCGAATATTGAACCTTGTTTTTTTTGATGAAAAATGCTGAAATGACAAATTAATTGGACTTTATATGAATTTAAACAAATGCCAATTTGATTGGACTTTGTATGAACAATACGCTGAATTTAACAATATGTTCTTGAACACCTGTCGCTGTATATAAGGCAAATATGGAGTCGTTGAAGGAAATAGCTGCAATGATGAAGAACGAAGATATTTTAATAGTATCTGGGGATTTTAATTTGTCACGATTGGATTGGTATACTGATGATGCTGAAGATGCTGACATAGCCATTCCAATAAGTGCTTCATCTGAAAAAGAAATGGTCGTTTTGGATACCTGTCATGATCTGGGCCTTGTGCAAATCAACAAAAATGGCAACTTGAATGGAGCTATGCTTGATTTAGTTTGGACTAACAGCACCGATTTCGTCAATTGTTCCAAAAATGATTATCACCTACTGAACACACATATCGTACTGTCACATCACATATCGTATGAGATAAATATTGGTAATTTTGATTGTAACCAATTTAAACCAACTTCGAATAATAGTTACCGAGATTTTGTGAATGCCGATTACGATACCATAAATGAGTCGCTGAATGACGTCGATTGGATGGAAATGTTTTCCGGTGATGATTTGGACTCGCATATCACAAAGTTGTACGAACTGATTGATTCAGTAATTTCATCGAATGTTGTGATGAAAACGAAGAAGCTTTCAAGTCACCCAAAATGGTTTAATAATGACCTTATCAATTTGAAGAATAGAGTCAATAATCAATACAAATACATAGCATCCAGACATACCATTGAAGAAAAAAACTACGCCAAAAAAGAACACTCCAAATTGAGAAAAGAATACAAAAAGAGCGCTCGTTTGGCATATAGAAACTACAAACTTGAAATGGAAAACCTTATCAATGAAGATCCACAGAAGTTTTTCGAATTCGTGAATGGTTCCAAAAAGACGAATGATGATCTTCCGAATGAAATGGTTCTTGGGGATAAGAAAAGTAGTAACCGAGGTGAGATAGCACAATTTTTCGCAACACATTTTGCCAAAGCGTACACTGAACCGGATTATACCGAAAATGAGAATTATTCTGAAGATGAACCATTGCTAAAGGATCTGTGTGCTATTTTTCCAACTATCAACATTACTGAGGAGTTGGTTATGGATTCGATAAATAACCTTCCAAACAACATGGTATCTGGACCTGATGGAATACCAGATATTTTTGTCAAAGAATGTACTACAGCATTGTTGAAGCCAATAACACACATGCTGAAGAAATCATTAGACACTGGATTTGTGCCTGAAATTTGGAAAAGTTCATTCGTTAGACCGGTGCACAAAGCCGGTGTTAAAGCTAAAGTTGAAAACTATCGTGGTGTAGCCCTGCAGTGTGTAATATCGAAGTTGCTTGATTCCATCGTTGCCAAACACCTTAATTATCACATGGAGAACATTATTGATAACAGTCAACATGGATTTGTGAAGGGAAAATCTACAACTACAAATTTGGCTGAATTTACATCGTGTGCAATTTTAGGAATGAAAAACCAAATACAAACCGATGCAATTTACTTGGATATTGCGAAGGCCTTTGACTCGGTCAACATTGATTTACTAATACGCAAATTAGATATTATGGGACTGAATCAACAATTACTCAAGTGGATCAAATCGTATTTGTATGGTCGCCAACAGATTGTCAAATTGAATAATGACATGTCGAGCCCTATTGAAGTTACATCGGGAACTGGTCAGGGTTACCCGATTGGTGCTACATTGTTTCTGTTGTTCATCATTGATTTACCAAAACACATAAGAAACTCAATACTTCAGTCGTTTGCTGATGACACTCGCCTATGGAAACACATCAGACATTATGATGATTGTCTGGAATTACAAGCTGACTTGAATAGGCTTGTTGAATACTTTAACCGGAACAAGCTAAAGCTAAATGTATCTAAGACCAAATTTGTGTCTTTTCATCGTGGCCACCCGAAATTTAACTTCGAATATTCCATTGGCAACGAAAAAATCGATCGAGTTGACGTGATAAAGGATCTTGGGGTGATACTTGACCATAAATTGATTTTTAATGCACACATTGAGTATATTACAGCCAAGGCGAAATCACGTTTAGCATGGATTAAACGATTTGGATATGAATTTGATGATCCATGGACAATGAAGAAATTATTTTTCACATTTGTATTGCCGATTGTGGAATATGCTTCCCAAATTTGGAACCCATACACCGATGAAAAAATTGCACGAGTTGAATCGATCCAGAAGCAGTTTTTATTGTTTGCACTGCGCAAAATGAAGTGGCCACACAGATTCAGGAAGCCGCCATACGAATGCCGACTGCTTGAATTACAAATGATTACGCTGGAAGAGCCGACGCTATGCCTTCTTACGTCAACGCCAACTGGTGCAAGAACAAGTACTACAAGCACAACGTACGTCAAATTCAAAGACTTGTATACAAATATATACATGTGTCAATTGCTTATTGAGCGGTTTTCTGTTCTCAAGAAATATTTTGAGTTTATTTTTATTAAAAAGCGCGAATATTTTTTTTTTCAATGCAAGAATTTAATCTTGTTATTTTAAAACGTAAAATTAAACATTTTTCTCGTGTTTTTGCGTGTTTTTGTCAACACAAGAGTAACTTAAGAATTACGAACAAATGTCAGTTCATTCCGATTGTTTCAATGACAACATGAAGTGACATTTGTCGCAGTTATTCATGTTGATGAAAACACGTGAAAACACAAAAATTTCATTTAATTTTATATTTTCTAAAATATTAGAATATTGTTTTTTATTGAAACATGTTTTTTTGAGTTTTTCTCTTCAAGTGATTGCTATATTTATACAAACGTGGTATTTCATTGTGTGGTTTGTGTTTGTTTTGGTTTGTTTATTGGTTGATTCATGTCGACACAATGATTCTAATAGTGATATGCTGTGCAATTGAGGCTTGAAATATTTTTTTTCTCTTTTGGAAAAAATATCAATGGAATAAGAGAGATATCAGTGTAATGCGAGAAGATTTTTATGTTTTTATGTGAAAGAACTACTATTCAAAACAGTCAATAACAGTATACCCAACGTGTAAGCGTCTGAATACTATTGGTATACAACGGTTCTATTACATGTTCTTGCACCAGTTGGCGCTTCTGGGCTCATTTATATGAGAACTGTCAAGAAGGCGCAGTGTCGGGAAGAGCGGAGAAAGATAGCACAAATATCACTTGTCCACAATGTGATATGTGGAAATACTTCATCGAAATACATTTTGAGCAAAATAAGTTTTAAAACACCGCGACATTGGACAAGAAACTCAGATTTCCTTTCATTACCGACGCATCAAAATTGCTATTCCAAGTTTGAACCTATCAATTATATGTTGAGTACATACAATGAATTTTATAAATACTTTGTTCCTATCAAACCGCCTAATTTACCAGATGAATGTAATATTACTACTATTCCGAATTGTGATACTTATTTAATTGATTTTAACACAAGTACAAATACTGTAAAACAGAGAGTAGCTGATTATTTTAAGAGAAATAGAATTTGGAGAGAGTAAAGTCAAATAGAATTAATTATCCCATTGCAAACATTGTAAATATAACAAGATTTATTTATGCTAAATAAACCACCTCTGGCGAAGAAACGCTGTATGGTGCAGAATAATAATAATAATAAT